TTGTGCTATTAGTTTTTACATATTAAATTTCAGGTTGGTCTTGTCTACGCTGATCTCGAGCACACCAGGACACATGCAGCTGGGGCCCCACCCATCCGCACCGAGTGTCCCACCAACTACGCAGAAATCAACCTTTCCCTGCTGTCGTCTTCAGTTAACCTCCCCTTTGCTTCAAGCTCACAAGACGAGGCTCCGCCCCGACCACTCCGTGGTAACCCAATCCCACTTCTCCCCCGACATTTGCACCTTTAATGGACTCACTGCATGCTAAGGAACATTGACATTTCGTTATGACCCAAGTTTTGTAAATAAGATCTCTTTTCTGTCGATCCACGATATTAATTATCTTTTCAGGATAAAAGTAAAGGAGATTCCCTCAAACGATTGTACTTTCCAATTTAAAAAAGAGGACCAGACCCAATTACAGTTACATGCTTATGATGAACTGCTTCGATTTGTCGAGATTGCGTGTTTTGACTACAACGGCGCTGAAGTTAAATATATGTATTTAACGAGAATAATCTCCAAAAAAGGCATAAAAAGCCTTTTAAAAAGCGCCCCTTGAGCAGAGATATTGACAAATGGGAAGAGCCACCGACACAGTGCTGAGTAGCACAGTTGGTTGGCAGGTTCAAATCCCGCTCCGGTCAATTTCGTTTTTCATCTTTATAATAAAAAAGCCATTTTGTGAGACTTAGAAGTCAAACATTGAAACAGGTACAGGATGCCAACATTAAAGAATTGTTTATTTGTAATTGTGAATTACACGAGTCCCTCTTGTGTAACGAGGAATCACAAGACGAGGGAGCACAAGACACGTAAAACGAACAATCAATTAGCGGATTTCTTTTTCTTAAGATTGACCATATAGCCATGCCTGCATATCACCGTGCTGAAATAAATGAATCAACCCCAAAACTTGTTCCATCTTTTAAAGAGCATCATATGAAAATATAATTATCTGCGGGACTGTATTACCTTTATGAAACGTCCTGTAACAGCCATCATGTGATAGCCAACGGCTAGCGATTTACATCGCAAGACTCTTTCGGCATCCATGCATGCGCATTGCTTAGTTCGAAGTTTAGAATTTCAAAAACTGGGGTCTCCAAAGATTGCCCCCGGTGGCTTGATCACTTCACGTGGACAACTATAAAGTGGGTTTATAATGACTTCGTGTGCTCACTTGTACATTTTGTTACACCGACCCATTGGCGTCAGGAGAACTTCAAGGACTGAGCGGGAAACCAAGGAGGATTATACATGTGTTGTTGGTTAACCTGGCACATTTAATGGTCTTAACTCGAAACTAATTATACTGGGAGATTGCACGTTCAAATCCAGCTCCAGTCAATTTCTCGGTTCATCTTTATAACTCTTAACTTGGATTAGAAAAGAAACCAATATATGTTACACAGAGTGTATCATGAAAAAGAAGAAAAGAAGAAAAAAAAAGAAACACACTTTTGGTATGTTATTTATTCACACACGGTCAATGATGGCCGGTTAATCATTTATTATGGACAATGAGACGAAGAGGGTTTGGGACCAAGTTTCACTTGAAATGCCAGCATAAATTATGATTCAGTTCTCCTCTCCTATGAAATGTTTGTATATTAATAGGCAAGATTCACAATACAGTCAGGTAAGTCATTGAGTGTCACAATGACTACAATGATTTACTTTCATTGGTTTTAGGCCTACAAAAAGCAGTAGTTTGTTTAGACAGTTACCATCATTTTTCCAAGATGGTGCCGTTGACTACAGAGAGGAGAGTATTTGTGGTGACTCAGTACGCTCGTACCCAAAAAATTTCAAGGAAACGCAAAAATTATTCCGATAAAGATATCCTGACCGTGGTCCTCCAGCCAACCACTTAGAAATTATGTAATGAAACACCTGACTCCAAAAACAAAAGAAATTTTATTGGGTTTTTGTACGCTCTTTATAGGGACTGATTTCAGCCTTGTCGATACAGAGGGTATGTTTTACTATTACAAGAAAAAACGGTTTTGATTAATTGGCACTGTTCAGGGACGAATGACGACTTTCGTGTTTGAATCTTCACCCACTAAGAGATGAGAGGAATCATTACAAAAGAGCCCGTACTGCAACTGCTGTTTTATAATTCTCATGTTACGGTTCATCATCAAAGATATTTTCCATTCCTGGATAGAGCTATTTGTTCACGATATGTTAATAATTTTGCTAAATGTTGTAGATCTTTTCATAGTGGATATTTAGGAGCATTGACGATGCCTATGTAAATTGATCAAACGGCTGTACATTCATGGGAGAGTTATCCCTTCCTCGTGATGTTACCTATTGCCCATTGATGCTTTTGCGAATGCCGGTGTAATCTGTTGCTACCTTTGAACATTGCTGGCGTCATTGCAGTGGAAGTCTTAGCAAGTGTAAGTGTAGTGCTGCTTTGATGACGTAGTCCTACTGAATTCATGTACGATTATCATTTTAGTTGCTAATGATAGCATGTATCGCATACATAATATCCAAGAATATGTAATAAAAGAAACCTCACGATTCTCTCAACACAATATAAATGATGTGGTCACACATTACTCTTCTGTGAGTTAAACTGAAGGATCTCATTAGAATTTGTATAGTGTAGCAAACGTGGGTCCGTGCCTTAAACGAGTGTTTGTATGGCTGCCATCTTATAGGCCAGTGCTTTTGTTTCATCGGCCATGTACATTGCACAGGAGGTTTCCCTGAGCTACAACAGAACTGTCCTGTGAGATGGCTACCATGCAAAGCCTCTACTCGGGTTATTATTGTCTGGTTAGCAACTGACAAAAGTAATATGATTTGCACCCTAATCCAACCCTCTAAGCTAAACAAAAAGTGTCACAAGACTTTTTTTCAAAACAATGTATAAGTAAGTTGTCCATGACCAGGAACATGCACCTATTGATAAAAAGTTTACAACCACAGTTTTTGACAACACGACACAATGATTACTTTGTGCGTAGCTTCATCAGTTTTGCCTTTGCTTTGGGGTTTCTTTTTAATGTAAAGGGGCATCAACTGCATTGCTGATGCTGTAAATAGCTGTGACATGCACGGCTCAGGCAGTTTTGCACAGTTGCAGCTGCTGTTGATCCAAGGATATTTTTCACCCCATTTAATGTCCTTAATTTTGGTTGGAAGGGAATCGTAGGCTCTTACTAAAATGCCAGCCAATATCCGTGCCCTTGTATTAAAAACACCGCCTTCATCCATAATAATGTGTGAACTGGTATTAATAAAATCACATAATTGTTTTTGCATAAACAAGTACGTCGCTCGGTAGCTTTGTTTCAGATTTAATACAAGAACCCCCCGAAGGTTATAAACCTGCTGCGAAGGCCTTGAGGGCGCTGTGAATGATACCAAAAGATATAGCTACATTAAACGTCGTTTTCACCTTGAAAGAAACGATGATCGCTTTCGATTATACCTGGAACCTTTTTTATAGATTCAATCTGCGGCAAGACACACAGTTTGGGATTAAAGTCTGTGCTTTTCTCAAAGATCTTAGGCTAGGGTGAGCTCATCTCTTCTAGCATGGACAGGCATTGCGTGCTATTCTGCTCTACATGCTTGCTTGTCATGTTATATGCTGCAAGAAGTAAGATAAAAAGATTACTGCAAAAATTGGTGAAAGCCAAATCGACCTATTTTGATTGGCTGTTTTTTTATATTTCAAGTACAATATTAAATTACTTCTACCGTCTACCCCTTCTATTTCCCTTTCATGAAATGCCTGGCGAAAAAAGTTCATTCCTTACTGTATGAAAGTCCATGATTAAAAATCTCCCTCGTCGCTTCAAACGCTACAAACAGGGCAACAGAAGTAAAAAAGAAAAATACTATATAATTGAAAACAGTTTTACATCATAAACTGTTTTTGGAGGAGTCGAACAGCTTCTGACAGTATGGAGAGCCATCCCAAGCTTCTGACAAGATCGGACATCTTTGATAGCGGATGTTAACAGTTTGTCAGGCTGTGGTCGGTGCAGAGCAGGGAGCAGATTGCGTGAGACTTCGTGAATACAATCGTGACAAGATAGTTCAACACTGATGAATGGTTACCGTCCGAAAGAATATCAGTAAGTATTTAATAACCGGCGTTAATGCGTAACGCTCTGAGAAGATTCACAGCGAAGTTCTAATCGACATGGTGCACTGACTCTATTGAAATGCCACTTGAAATTGTGGCAGAATAATGTAGCACCAAAGTATCCCATTTAAGCAAAGACTCGCGTTTTCCTATCCCTCCTGTTCGATTTAGAAAATTTTTTTTCCGAACATTTTATCTTGATACATTAGACACTGCAGGATTGCATGTACTTCCAATGTCCTAGTTGATAGTGCAGTGTCAGGTGAGAGACCGTTTTCCAAAGGGTGGTTGGACAATATCAGGGCAGAACCAGCTTTAGTTGGCTTTAGAATTGTTCCACAATAGCTTCGTGCTGGCCTAAGAAAGTCCACTTAGTTTACGTGTACAAACGTAATGGCAAGAAGGCGACAGTGCGACGTAAGGGAACCGTCGTGCCGTCGCATCATGTAGTTGCGTCGCCTTGCAAGAGGTTGGAGAGAGGCTGAAATGTGTCTTGTAAATATTACACCATTATGAATACTATGCATCAAAGGGTAGCAGCACACGACGCGTCGCGTCGTGCCTCGTGTCGTACGTTGCGTCGTACTTCAGGCAACGTAATACGCGATACGACGCACTACACGGTACACGACGTGACGCACGACAGTGCGACGCGACGAGCGACAGAAGGAGCGACATGTAGGGCAAAAAAAATGCAACAAAGGAAGGACGTAAGACAGCACAACGTGACTGGTGATGGCACGACACGATGCACGACACGAAGCTCCGTGTGTGTAGGAAACGTAATGGCATGAAGGCGATGGTGCGACCCGATGGCACGACGCGTCGCGACGTAAAGAAGGTGTCGTGCCGTCCCGTCCTGTTGTTGCGTTGCATGGAGGGACGCGAGAGAGAGTACTGTTTCCTTTCATTTCTGTCCCCCGTCCTTGCATACTTTATGCTATTAATTTGGCTCTTTGCACGCTGCCGCCACAGACATGCAGAGAATAGAACTGGCAACCGTCGTACCGTTGCGTTTTGTAGTTGAGTCGTCTTGGAAGAGGCAGGGAGAGGCAGAAATTGTGTGTTGTAAATACTACACTGTAGCTTTTGTTCGATAGGGTATGCACAAAGAAGGCTTCCCTGTGTGGAACAAAAGAGCTGCCCTGTCTGATGGCTGCCATGCAAAGCGTTTAGTGCTTTGTGTTAGCTCTCTCACATGAACAAATGTTTGGTGCAGATCTGAATGTCGCACTTTCACTTTGGGTGAACAAAAAGAGATAAAGTGTTTCGGTTGGCTCATTCTTTACTTATGAGGGACATACTTCATACACCCCAAATAATAAACAAACCCCATAGTTCAACGATAGCTGTATAATAATTCTCAGTTTACACGTAAACACTGATAAAAGGTTGGACTGGATAATGTATGGCTAAATGCACACAGAATATCACAGTGTTATTGGGCACAAACATTTGAAATAAACACTTTGAAACAACCAATGCACCAGATGGAATATCCGTAACTGGAATGGTACATTTAAACAGGAGAGATGACTGCTCCGGACGTACATGTTTAGTATTTCCGTTCAGACAGGCCAACAGATATCAACTTGAAAAGGAAATCAATACAAATTGTGTATTATCATGTACCGGATACGCTGGCCAATGTAAGTGGTTTCGAACTTACTGCGTCCAATTTCTAATTTCAGGGTTATTTACTTATGCTCTTCATTGTGTATCGGTATTCTATGGCAATTCGGATCCTTTACTCCCCGAATCGAGTGTTCCAAATTTTTGATGCATGTTGTCAAATGAATCTCCAATAAGTTTGGTTTCACTTTTAATTCTGATTTCCAGTAATGCCTGTAACGCACGAAGCTTGTCGCATAACAAGTTTGCTGCACAGATCTGACTACTGATTTTCTCTTCAGACATGAAGCAGTTGTACGCATTGACCGTTGTTTGCTTGATGGATTTCACGTTTTACACTTCATGTGGTAAGTGAAAGTAGCCAAAATATCCTATTTGTTTCCATTTATGATTGGTCAAAAAAAATTACGAATAAAGGTTTAACTTGCCGCTCAAAATAAACTAGAAAAATTGGATGGTATGCGGCTAGTCGAGGGCTCCACGAGTTCTTAGAAGTCATAGGCCTAAACACAAGATACACTAAATCGTGAACAAGGGGCAGCGTAAAGTAGCTCCCACGGAGAAACTATGAGCTTTACTTACACTGATGTTCCTTTGCGAGGAACGGACAATAATATTTGTCAGAACACGATTGCAACCTTCACAAGGTTATCCAATAAAAAAATAAATCCGAGGTTAATAAGACTGATGTTTGTACCATTTATTTTATTAGAAACGATTGTGACGGTGGTTCAGGGACAGGATGTAAAGTTGGAATGTGAAGCAGCTGTAACTAACGGCATGACGATGCCACTGTGCCTCAACGGCACTGGTGCAGACATCGAGTGGCTCAAAAATCGGGCAGTCATTACGAATTGCTTAGCATCGAGAAGTCCATATAAGCTGAACAGCACAAACGGAGTCCTAACCATGCCAAACATTTCAATGTCGCTGAACAACGCTGCGTTTGCTTGTCGTGTGTCTTCAGCAGGAGGAATCAGAATAAGTAACCTCACACTCATTGTCTTTCAGAGTAAGTAAAAAGGACGTCACGGCATGGCATGGAGTAACCTTTTTTGCGAGTTAATGTAAGTTGCACATTTTTAAACCAAGGAATGGGGAATTTGAATCTGATTTTGTTTCTTACCCTGTAATTTCGTGTCAAATTACGCCATGTGGACATCGTTTACTTCTGTGTCATAAGGAGCATCACATGTTACTGCTTTATGCTTCAACGATGAAAAAGGTAAGCTTGACAAAAGAGCGATACGAATACGTGTAGTTACCTAGCTTATGCTCAAACTATGAGTGAACACAGAGTGAACGCAGAGTGAACGCAGAGTGAACGCAGAGTGAACGCAGAGTGAACGCAGAGTGAACGCAGAGTGAACGCAGAGTGAACGCAGAGTGAACGCAGAGTGAACGCAGAGTGAACGCAGAGTGAACGCAGAGTGAACGCAGAGTGAACGCAGAGTGAACGCAGAGTGAACGCAGAGTGAACGCAGAGTGAACGCAGAGTGAACGCAGAGTGAACGCAGAGTGAACACAGAGTGAACTATTAACTGGATTAACAATTTGTAGAATCCACTTCATACACAAACGAGGGAATCACTGAGACATTACCTTGCTGTTGTGCTATCCTCTGTATGATTTTTTTACCATGTTTTATGATAATGTGCAGGAATCGAATTAGCAGAGACTACTCCCTTGTTGAATAGAATACAAGGAGAAAATGCTACCTTGGGATGTTTCGTCGAAAGTGTTCCTCTAGGCTTTCCAAGCATCTACTTTACATGGTTGGTAGATGACAAGGTTTTACAAGATGTCTTCGACGAGCAGAAATATACCTTCGACTACGACAACCATGGCTGTAATTTGACGATTGATGACCTTCAATTAACTGATGAGGGAAGATATAAGTGTGAGGTTCGTTACTCGCTCACAACGGTGTGGAAAAGTACAACGCTGACAGTAGCAGGTGGGTGAAAATCCTCGAAGTGTTTTCCACGTTGTCACATTTTATGACAACCCATATCTCTCCTCGAAATAGGCTCTGACAACATAGGCAATAACCGTACATCAACAGACAATCAGAAAAGTGCAGAAAACGTGAGATGCTTGCTTGAAACTTGTGGCACACTACCAGTTGAATCGAATACACTTACGCATTGCTGAGGTGGGCAGCTTTCCAATATTGTTCGTTTGATTCTGTGCCCTCTCTGAGTTTTGTTTGTTTTGTCTCATCATCTCGGTTCCTTGAGTGTTTCTGTTCTAATATCAGCTGCATTATTCCCTTACAGTACCACCACAGTCTGTGTACATCATCGACGTGACAACTGGTATTGTATGGAGCAACCACTCGCACATCCCACAAACCAGCAGCCAAATGTTCACCTGCTTGGCTACAGACACCAAACCGGCGGCAGAAATAACATGGACAATCAATGGAAAGACTGCAGGCATGGAGAGCAATGAAGAAGTAGTCGGATCCAGATTATTTAACACGAGTAGCACGATTACCGTACCGCCCGTGCAGAGTGACCAACGAGAGAACCTCACGTGTACAGCCACTGGGTCTGGACGAAGAGTTGCTGTGACACTTCGCTTGATTGGTCAACAATCAGGTAATATTTCAGTTGATTTTGTCAGTATGGGCTCGTAAAATTCACAAATTATCGGCTAATTTTACAATGATATCGTTGTACTATATATAGTAAAATGAAACAATGTATTGTGTAAAGTAAGAAAAAAAAAGAATCTGATAAACCATACATTCTTCAAATAAAATATAGCGACAAGGAATTATAACGTTTCTTTAACCATTTATGTGGTATTTTGTGGATGGTGGGCTCTTCCTAAACTCAGCACTGTCCTCATCCTGTTCTCAATAGTAATATGAAGTTGTGAATACGGTTGAGCACCCGCAAATCTTGGAATTCTAGCACCCCTTGTTTTACTCGTTCTCGACAATCAACCTGTAAAGATGTCTTACAAGCCTAGGTAAATTTATTCTAGTCAGTAAACTTCTGCTCTCTTTTTCACCTCTTCTAATTTTGAGCTCGCGATGCCTTTGCTATGCGCAAGGACAGATGATTGATTTCTGCATTTTAAATGCAGATGCCATGGAGACGACCGAATGGACTATGATCTTTATTGCAAATGCCGTCCCAGCGTCATTTCTCTTGTTAATCGCCTTGACAATTGTCCTCTGGAGACGCAGACAGCGTAAGTATGTTCGGCTTCAAGCCCTAGTCTATTCTCACAAGTCTCAGGTGTGTACACAATATTTATTGCCAAGCAACCTCTGGTGTTGCCGCTGTTTTTTCTCTGCTTTGTTGCTCTGTGAATCTGCTAATGCCTCTACAGATAATCACTGACTATTCGTGTAATTTGAAAAAAATAAAGACAGATATTATTTCTTCAATTTTCGGGGGCTAGACGAATTTTTCCCTTTCAGGAGAGGGTTACCGCAATGAGTCATACGTAAACTTCAAGCAGTCGGTAATAAAATTTATATTTGAAAGAATGCAGTACAAGTGGTAGCATGGTTATACAAATATTGTCGTCCTTGTTTTGATTTCCAGGTGACACTTTGAGAAATACAAACCGGTAAGTATAAACAAAAACACTAAATGTCAACTTACGCTTTCCTGATTTCACAATGGTCAAGGGCAAATTCGTGATTTCGCAATGCTCAAAGGCAAAGCACAACGGTATAGCATACATGTAATGAGACCAGTATTT